AAATGCAATTTATAAAATCATCTAACACAATATGATTGGTTTATTTAATTTATTATTATTGATATAAGGGATTAGTATAAATAGTGTTATCATCCTAAAAGATAGATTTAATATCAAAAATTATAAAATAAAAAAATATGTCTAGAATTTAAAAATTAAAGTTAATTCTAGAATTAATCTAAACTATAAAAAAGTTAAAACAATTAGATTGAATGAATTTTCATATTGAAAGTAACGTACCAATCACATTTGATTATTATTCTTCAATTTATATTAAAAGTATTAGACAATATAAAGGACTGAAAAGGTATATTAATCATCAAAAAAGTAGTATATTGTTGAAATAATTAAGATTTACAGAAAAAATTATATCTTCTCTAACCGCCATCTAAGAATCTTAATTACTGATTAACTTAAGCACAACTTAAATTTTTACATACATCAAATAATAAACATTTATAAATCACTGAGATTATGTATAATCATTTTTAACTTCAAGAGGATTTTCACAAAATTAATGAATATCTAAACCAAAAATAATATCCCTCATCATATTTTTATTTTTAAAAAACTATATCTATTTTATACATAATGGATAATCTTTAAATCATGCTATTTTTCATTTATAAAAAAATGCTCCAACATTATCTATTTGGATAATAAATCTATAAAACTACAAAGTATATGCTAACACAGCCAGAATTAAAAATGTTCAGATGAAAACTGAGAGATTTTAAATATCCTGCTACTAAATATCAGAAAGTGAGTAATGAGACTCAATTATTGAAACAAACTTCTAATAAGGGAGGGACTACATACTATATAAAACTATCTAGCCCACATTCTAACACACATGAAAATAATTGAATGATTTAATGATGTAAGTTATTTAAATAATTAAATTTATTTAACTTAGAGGAAATAAAAAAGAGATTCAAAATTAAAATGGAAAAGATAAATCATATTGTAGAAAAAATTTCTAAAGTAGTTATTATAGAGTGAGAAGTAATTCTTATTACAAATATAAATTTGCAGATATTTATTTCATTAAATAATTAATATATTGATTAG